TTGCATGTACATGTACAGGGCTGTACACCTGTACCCATATGCTTGTCAAATTAGGACCTGCAGCATTTCCATAGTGTAACATAGGTTGCCTGCAAACAATGACAGCCACAAAAACAAACCACTGATTCACACTCTACAGGCCACAGCACCCATGTGAATGAGGCTTAAGACCTCAATTACACACACAGCTTTATTTATGACCTCAGTACAGTTTTGTAATTTAGATTTAACAGGAATTTGGTTGGGATTGTGTCCATTAATAATGTTTTTAGTGTATTTTTATCATAAATATAATTTTGGATATTTTCTCTGGCGGTGGGAAGGCTGTCAGGTATGCTGTACAGGTCCCCGTGATATCTAACAGTGGCCCTGGGTGTATGCTTGTGTCTGTGCCACCTATATAGTTAGGAAGAACAATAACTTCTGTGGAATACCTTAAACCTCTGCTATGTACCTCAATGTATCTAGGAATCGGACATATTTTCAACTGAAAATACAATAATTATTAGTAACGTTTCCCCTGCAAATGAGATCAGCTCCTTGGTCGAGAACAGCGATCTCGCCATATCCAGATGTGGTCTGGAATTCCACAAAAGAACAATTCACAAAGCAAAAAAAAAAGACTTGCAAATTACCACTAAACTCTCCTAACTACACTCCCATCCATTAACACTCCCCACTTCCGGGTGCGCACGAACGTCCTTGCGTAAACGTGATGGCGTATTTCCGGTATGACAGCTGCTCTACCGCCTCCTCCAACTGCCGTCTTGGCGTTTATTTGTGCACCATAGCAATTTCCACGCAGTTCCATTGTGTATATGACATTCGCAAATATATGTTTGCAGTTCTATTGTGTATTTTGGCATTGTGTGAATATATATTTGCAGCTCTATTGTGTATTTGGCATTGGTGAATATATGTTTGCCGGTAAAGGCCCAAAGTTAACATAAATTGGGGGCCTAATTTATTACTGTTAAGGGGATTGTAGAAAAAAGAATAGCTAGCTGCACATTGAACACAACCTATTCATTGGTACATAACATGGTCTTGTGGTGCAATAGGGGGCTTTTGGTTTGTTAGTTTGGACATAATTGCATATGTGCGCTCTAACAAGCTAGATTTGGGCATATTATATAGCTCACAAAATATAAATGTTAGGGGTGCTAGTATATTGAACATGAAATAATCCCCCCAAAAAAATACATAGTCCAAACATTTATTGATCAAATACATATTCCACATTTATTTGGACTGCAGCAACAAGTAGGTACAGTCAACGTCTTGGTGAGAAAAAAAATAGAAAAGCAGGATTGATGTTGCTAAAATAGAACGGTCCTGTTCATAAGAGCTTACAATCTAAAGATTATACTTCTAATGAACTGTGCTTTCACAGGTTACAGCAGGAAACAAACGGTTAATATGAATCAAGCAACATTTTCAGGGCCATAAAATTAACACACCATCACTCCCACCTCCCCAAATCCCCCACACATACATTTCTCATCAGGTTTGTCCTAAAAACTGCATTTCAGTTTAAATAAGCAAACTATAGCCAAGTGCAGATTTGGAAGAAGAGAGCAATTGACATGTGTTAGGATTACAATGCAAAGATAATAAAACACACAATCCTTGTACATAATAATACACAAACACACTTTAGAAGGAAAAAAATGCAAAACATTTACAGCCCAAATCAAAACACAGCCTGAGCGGGGTCTGGGCAATTCAGCACAATATGTCTTCATCCCCAAACCACCACAAGCATGGACTTGCTGAATATAACCTGGCCTAGTAACAGGAAAATCACCCACTACTGCAGGTCTTTAAATAACATAGGTTGCAATTGGAGCACACCAAACAAGGTCCCACCCACAATGAAGGCCACACCCACCTATACAGGCCCCACAAATCAGAGTCAGAAATCCGCAGTGCAGCATACAACAGAAAATTGAACAGGGATGTGAAGGGGAACCCCATGGCAAAATTTATTGGCACTTTGGGCACAATTCACTCCAGATTATCAAATGAGTTAAGGCAGTCACATAACCACATCTCACATGCAATACTGAAAATGTCAATTCACATTTGTTAGTATGTGGGATTTCCCATAAATCGGAAAAAAAAAAAAATCGAAATCAAACATAAAAAGATCTTACTCCCCAGTCACATCAAAGCCGATTTAGAAATCTTGCGACTTACAGTGAAGTTGCCGTTGTCCTTGCAATTTGCAAAACATCTGACACAGATATCTATGCAAATCGCCACAAAAGTAGTACTACTTTAGAAATCAGTGTCGCAAGCGCACCCATGTGACCGCTCTAATAGCGGACAATAGGGTGCAACTTGGCATACGATTTGTAAGTCGCATGTCGTGCAAATCACATGCCAAGTCGAACTCAATGTGACCGCTATTAGAGCATTCATATTGGTGTGGTTCAAACTTGGTGTGGGAGCCGCAACGATTTATAAAGTAATGAATACACTACTTTTCATGCGATTTGCAAATAGATCTGTGTCAGATGTCTTGCAATCGCACTTTAAATCAGCATGTCCCCCGACTTTGAAATCATGCGACTTCACTGTAAGTCACATGATATGACCGTAGTGTAAGTCACATCACTTCAAAATCCGCTTTGATGTGACCGAGGTGGCCCCCAGTCACATTGGGTGCGATTTGGCATGTGATTTGCATGACAGGCGACTTGCAAATTATAGGCTCCGTTCAGGCTCCGTTCACGTGCAATCTGATTTTGAAATCGTGCGACTTCATTGTAAGTTGCCCGATTTCCAAATCGGATTAGATGTGACTGTGGTGTTAGCCCCTGGTCACATCAGGTGCAATTTGGCATGCAATTTGCAAGTCGCAGGGCATGCAAACCGCATGCCAAGTCGCATCCGGGGTGCGCGATTTCAGGTGCGATTTGGGAATTGAAATTGTACCTGACATCAGATCTAATGAATGTGAATTTCTTAATATACACAATTTGCTGCAGCACAATTTTAAAAGTAGTTCTTGTCTAACTTTTTCTGCATTTTGCAGTGATTTCACATATAGACTACATTAGAAATCGCAATGCAAAACACAATTGAAAATGCAATAACTTGTTCGTAAATCGACAGAAAACACGTTGAAATTGCCAACAAAAAGCTCAATTTTAAATCGCATCTAGTGTGAACCAAGCAGGCAATTCAACAAAGGAAATAAATCTTTGAAGGCATGCGGTATCTGCATGCTCAGATAAGGGTCTGTTATGGATTTGGGGGCGGGGGGCTCCATGCCATTATTTTATTTTTTGTTTTAAATCCTTTTCTCTCGCTTTTCTCTCTCTCTCTCTACTCTCTCTCTCTTATCTTGGCTTGACAAACCCTTCCCAAAAGGGGGCAAAAGTGCAAACCAGCATTATCAAATCAATCATTAGGCCAGGCCCTTATCTCACCCCATTGTTTGACATTCACATAAGGTGCAGCTTTGAAGGTGTTTGAACAGACAAGGCCTCATTCTAATTCACATTCTAGGGACTATTTAGACAGAAAGCAAAGATGCTGCCAGCACATTTATTTTAGGGCAGCCACCAAAGGAGAATATGCAACTTCATTGCCGTGGTTGGAATTCAAACTGACGACCCTAGCGCTATGAGGCAGCAGTGCTAACCACTCATCCATGGAGCTGTGGCACTAATCCAGCCTGTATTTCTGTGGTGTGAATCAACCTAAGTCCCTGGGCAAGGTCAGTGTAACTAGCCAGATGTCTAAAAGGTGACACAAATGTTGTGCTATGTTGCCAATTCAGATGTATGTTGGTTCTATGTATCCCAATATAAAGGATTGCAATACTACTACAGGCGTATTTTGGTTTACCAACGCCTTGGTTAATGTACTTTTTGGTTTACGAACGAAAATGCATTGAAAATAATGCCTCGGTTTACATATTTTTTCATAATTTTTTTCGCAATACGAAGAGTATGTCGGTGCTGATTTTTAAATGCAAATGCCAGCCTTTTTTTTTTTTTCTTCACTATAGTTCACAAGCTTAGATGTCACTTTCCCGGGAGTTGCAGGAAACTTTGTCTCTTTTAATAAACTAAAAGTAAACATTGTTTCCTTTAGGGAAATAAACTCAAACAAAACTCTCTTTTAGCTGGGGGAATGTGACAACTGAATTTCTGAGCTATAGTGAAGAAAAAAAAAAAGCCAGAATTACATTTAAAAAACATCACCATAATAAATAAAAAAAGACGGAGGGTCCCCCCTCTCATCCATACCAAGCCGTATGGGTCTGGTATGGATCTTAAAGGGTAATCCCACGCCAAAATAAAAAAAAAATGGCATAGGGTCCCGGCAAATCCATACCAGACCCTTATCCGAGCATGCAGCCCGGCAGGTCAGGAAAGGGGGGGAGAGGACCCAGGAAGGGAGTCAGGACCATACCCAGGAAGGAGCCTGACCATGGCTTGGAGCGGGAGCTCGATGTTAGGGCTCCCGGCTCCCAAGCACCTCCAGTGTCCTGTCAAGAAGGGGAGAGATGTGCGGGAAGCCCTGGAGGGACTAGCCGGGGAGAGGGGGTTTGCCTGGTGGGGTGCAGGGACCGAGGACCTCCGAGAGTGGCGGCCATTGCAGCTGGTCTTCCTGTGCTCTCGGCCCGCCGCTGTGTGTTCCTGGAGCTCAGTGGATGCCGGGCAATCAGGTGATCTGCCACACGGGAGCTGTGGGAGGCAGAGGAGCCAGCCGGCATTTCTTGGAGCAAGGGAGATGCCGGCTCTCTTCCTCCTGCACACAGGACCGTGGCAGCTGGAGACACGTGGAAACGGGCTGGGTGAACCAATCCACTGCAATCCGCTGCAATCCACTCATTGTGTGAGGGGAATGTCAAGTGCAATGTTCCCCAGAAGAGAGTACCTGGAGCTGCTTCACCCCCTCACTTGGAGTAAAGGAAGGGATGTCCTAAAGTGCGGGAAAGTCTCTCAGAGAAGTTCAGTCTCTATAGAAACCAGAGATCTCACATGGGGGAGAAGTATTCCTGTTTCGAGTGTAGGAAATGTTTTTCAAGTAAGTCCTATTTTTTTTTATATACCAGTGATAATACAAGAGGGAGCAGCCATACCCTTGTTTAGAGTTCGAGAAATGTTTTTCACAGAAGTCCAGCCTGCATATATATCAGAGACCTCACATGAGGAAGATGCTATATCCCTGTTCTAAGTGCGGGAAATGTTTTCTCAGATAAGTCTAGACTTTACATATATCAGAGATCTTACACAGGTGAAAAGCCATATGTTTGTCCTGAATGCAGGATATATTTTTCAGTGAAGCCCAGTCTTCACACACATCAGAGATCTTACACAGAGGAGAAGTTGTATACCTGTTCGGAGTGCGGGGAATGTTTTTTCAGAGAAGCCTTTTTTCTTCATATATGACAGATCTCATATGGGGGAAAAGCCGTATTGGGGACAAGAGGGTAAGTGAGAGCGGCAAAACTACTGAGATTAATATATTGCATGGGAACTGGACTGTATGTATTGAACTATATGGTTAAACTGAGGAGGGATTCACCCAGGGGGTCTTAGAGGAAAATCAGAAGGAGGACAATGTAAAACTGATAGACGTAGAAGAAGAGGACCCGGGTAGATGAGTTCGGGAGGTGGGGGGAGAGAAAAAGGAAGAAAAGAACTGAGAGGCGGATACCCATGGAAGACAACAAATTTTGATATCAAATCGAAAATAGACCCCCACCAAAACCAGAACTGCAGAAAATTGAAATAGTCCTTGACAGCATGAAAAACAAAGTATCAAAGGGAGGAGGGCGTAAGGCTTCCCAAACAGGGTCAATTAAAAAATATATACCTTCACAGGAGAAACAGACTCCAGAGAGACAACAGGGAATAAGTGAGAGGGAAAATGGTGGGGAATGTTCCAGACTATCCCTGGGAATAGCTAACAGTAGTCAACATATGGAAGAAGTGGATATGGATAAAGTAGAAGAGCAAGAGGAGAGCTCACAGATGCCTACTAAAGCAGAAATAGCAGAAATGTTTAAAGGACTTGAAAGATCCCTAAAACAGGAAACTGGCGAAATTACTTAAGGACCTGGGGCAAATATTATCAAGGGTGGAGGAGACAGAAGAAAAACTAGTTAAACATGCCCAAATTATACAGAAATTAGAAAAACGGGCGATGGAAATGAGAAAAGAACAAAGAAATCTGTTACATAAATTGGAAGACCAGAAGAATAGGGATAGGAGATGTAATCTAAGGATACAAGGCTTTCCGGAGATCTCCCAAGGAGAAGATTTGATGGGAATAATTACGGGAATGCTGAATACTAATGGATAGAACTATAACGGAGCCTCTCAAAATGGATGGAGTATATAGAATAGGAAGATACATACAAGAAGATAGAAAGGAAAAGCCAAGAGATGTAATAGTGCAATTCCATAATTTTCAGGATAAAGTAGCTTTGGAAGAAGATAAAAGGAAGAGCAATATTAAAATATGGAGAAATAAATATACAGATCTTTGCTGATTTAGCAGCGAAAACATTAATAGGAAGGAGAACTCTGAAATCTTTATTGGAACAGATGAGAAAACAGAATGTTCGATATAGCTGAGGGTTTCCAGCGTGTTTGATCGGATGGAGAAATGGACGTTCGGCAAGACTGAGATTCCCCGAAGATCTGAGAGAGTTTTGTGAGAGACTTGATATACAGAAAATAAATATCCCTGGTTGGGAGGAAGGAGAAATGTGGGCTATGGAAAATGAGGGGAGGCAGGTATCTCTAAGGAGAAATACAGAGTAGGAATAGTAAAGAGGAATAAGAAGACAGGGAGGGGGGGGTTCTCTCTTTTTTTTTTTTTTTCTCTTTCTCTCTCTCCCTCCATTTCTGCCTCTCTCTTATGATCTTTGAAGTTTGCTAGAGTATGGCAGGACACAGAGGATGAGACACGCTTATTGGGGAAAAGTTCATGGTCAGAGCTTCACCTTAAAAGCTGATTCAAAGGTGGGGTTAGGACCACAAATGATTCATAGGCAAAATGTAAGCCTAAAGGGAGGGAGGGGTGGAAGAGGAATGGGAGGGGATAGGTAGTTTAAGACTACGAAATAGTGGAAGAAACATTAGCCTGGAGAAATCCTAGAAATCAAAGAGGAACATGTGGAGGAAAGAGGAAGAGAGAAGAGATTGGGAAGATAGAGTTGTGAAGAGGAGAAGAATGGAAGAGATTCACTTTGTGACCTATAATGTTAAAGGGTTAAATAGCCCTGGGAAGAGATTTGGGATTTTTAAAGAAATTCAACATAGATTTTATTCAGTAGTTTTTTTACAGGAGACACATTTGGTGCAAGAATCAAATGTGAAATTAAATTCCAGATATTATCCAATGTGGTTTTATGTAGATTCCCCAATTAAACGTGCCAAGGGAGTGGTGATAGGTTTTGCGAAAAGTATAAGATTTAAGCTGGAAGATAGATTGATAGATCCAGAAGGGAGATTTCTGTTTCTGAAGGGAAAATTACAGGAAATAGACTGTACATTAGCAAATATTTATTGTCCGAATTAGAAACTAGAGGTATTCCTAAAAATACTCTGAAGAAGTTAATGGATTTCAAAAAAGGCAATTTAATTGTGGCAGGTGATTTCAATCTCTGCATGGATCGCCAGATGGATATGACGTCCCCTGTGCAGAGAGATGGTAGTGGGTCTCTGAAATCCTTGAAAAAAAATGATATACCAATATCAACTTGTAGATATATGGAGAATTAAGCACACGAAGGAAAGAGACTATACGTTTTATTCTCATGCACATGAGATGTATTCAAGACTGGATTATATATTGCTGGACCATCGACTTATTGAGTCTCTGGTCAAAGTAAAAATAGAAGTGATGTCAATATCGGACCATGCCCCTGTCACAATGCAATTATTATGGGGAAATGAGAAGATCGGGGGGGGAAATTATGAAGGTTAAATGAGACACTTCTCCAGGATTCAGAGGTGGATCAAAGAATTAAAAAAAGAAATAGAGCAATTTTTTTAGGAAAATTATTCTGGGGAAGTGTCCATAACAACAGTGTGGGAGGCTCATAAGGCCTATATTAGAGGAATCCTGATAGCGATTGGAGCAAAAAAGAAGAGGGAAAGAAGAGAAAACATAAACACGCTTCTTAGTGAACTCTGTGGGTTAGAGCAGATACAGAAACATAAAGTAACAAAAGAGATTATGCAGAGGGTAATAAATAAGAGAAGAATTAAATAAATTTCTGGAAGAAGATAAGAGAAGAGCGTACAATAAAATAAGTGAGAGATTTAGATGGGGAGATAGGCCAGGAAAGTATTTAATGAGGGCTCAGAGAAAAAAAAATCTAGGAACTATATAGAGAGAAAATAGAGACCACAAAGGAGAATTAATGTATTCAACTAAAGATATAGATAAAGAATATTATAATAAGTTATATAATATTATCTGGCAAACAGGTTGAAAGACCTAATGTCGGAATGGATACACATAGACCAAGTAGGCTTTGTCCCAGGGAGAGAGGGTAGAGATAACGGATTGGGATCTCTGTTTCGCATACAAAAAAGTAGGAAAGATAAAATCCCTGCGGTGGTACTCTCTATCGATACTGAAAAGGCATTTGATAGAGTAGATTGGAGATATATGTTGGATACATTGGAAGTATTGGGGATGGGACCTGGAATGAGAGAGTGGATAAGGAAATTATATAGTCAACCCTCTGCAGCAATCATGGTTAATGGGGAATTGTCAGAGTATTTCGGGATGCAGAACGGAACTAGAGAGGGATGCCCTTGTCTCCATTGCTATATGTTTTATCATTGGAATCTCTTTTGGCTACAATAAGGAATAATATAGATATAAAAGGAATTTGGATAGGAGGTAGGGAGCATAAGGTAGCAGCTTATGCAGACGTGATGCTGTTCTATGTTGGAAACCCAAGGATAACATTGCCAAATTTAATGAAATCACTGAAAGAATATGGGGAGATGTCAACTTTAAAAATTAACCCAACAAAAACAGAAATTTTAAACATAAATCTTCCAAATATAGTGAAAAATAGGTTACAGGAGGAATTTCCCTTTGTTTGGAGAGAAAAAGAATTGAAATATCTAGGAATAAAATTAACTGTATCCTCCAAGAACTTGTATAAATTGAATTATATCCCATTGTTAAATGAGATCAGGGATGAACTAAGGAAATTAGGAGGGGGAACCCCGTCATGGATAGGTCGTATAAATTTGATAAAAATGGTGATTGTTCCAAAAATATTATAGAAATTTCAAATGATACCAATTAAACTACCAGAAGTATACTTTAGATCAATTAAAAAAAAGTTAAGATTTATTTGGAGGAATAAAAAACCGAGAATAAGCCAGGAAATTTTATGTAGAAATAAAGAGGAGGATTGGGATTCTCAGATTTAAAAAGATATTATAACTCGGTAATAATGGTGAGAATTTTTGACTGGACATAAAATGCAGAGGGGAAAAGCTGGGTTAAAGTAGAAAATATACTAAGTAATACTAAATTAAGTGGAATTGTATAATAGAAATGGTATACGAGCGCTAGAACTGCCTAAAAATCAGAGACATTAAAACATAAAAGCAGCTGGCATAAAAGATAAACGTCCGTGCTTCTAGTGCATGTGGGAATGAGAATAAATTGCACTAACCAGATAGCACAATACACATTGCTTTTGAGTAATCAAGACCACTCCTGGTCAACATCATCCTGGAATAACCCCGGGGGGTCGTCTGGTATACGTCTGCACCACAGCCACACATCCACTGCTACTTTCCGGATTGTAGGGAAACACTCCACTCCAAATATATGCACCAAAAACAAAGCACTCCAGGTATCCACCTTAATAGCTCCAAAATGAGTGAGCCAGAGAGAAAAGTGCTATGTAGTGCAGTACGTTTTATTTATTCAATGGTAAAACATGTATTAAACCTAAAGCACTCACATCTGGTAAGTAAGAATGCAGTCTGGGTAAAACAGGAATGTAACCAGATTCCAAGATGGCCGTCGGCCTTCCTCGTGGCTCATGCAGATCGATGCAACTGGCTTGGCTCCTCCCTAATGGATTTTGTGCACTTGCACGTTTTCAAAGGTCCTTTCTGGTTTTCTGGTTACCTTCCTGTTTTACCCAAACTGCATTCTTACTTACCAGATGTGAGTGCTTTATGTTTAATATATGTTTTACCATTGAATAAATAAAACTTACTGCACTATATAGCACTTTTCTCTCTGGCTCACTCATTTTGGAACTATTAAGGTAGATACCTGGAGTGCTTTGTTTTTGGTGCATATATTTGAAGTGGAGTGTTTCCCTACAATCCGGAAAGTAGCAGTGGATGTGTGGCTGTGGTGCAGACGTATATCAGATGACCCCCGGGGTTAT